CAGAAGACTGAAGAAGAAAAGAATGGACTCTTAGCATGGTGAAAGTAATAAAAGTTTGTTGTACATGTACCCACTGATATATGTTATTTGTTATGTAAGCAGAAGAAATTGATTGTAAGTATTTTTAAATGTGGTAGTCTATTATTAAGCTTATACATGAATGAACTTTGAAAATGTTAATGGATGTAGTGGAATAACATGCAGGTAAGAGGTTTACTTAATGTTTATGCAAATGTTTATTAAATGTAATAGTGTTATTAGAATAAATGTATTGTTGTATTGCTCCTCGTTGTTCATTAGAGGAAAGCACTTTAGCTTTCCCCCATGAAACAACTTGTTAAGGGGGGAGGTATTGTAACATACAGCTCTGCTCTCACCTGTCCGTCACAGCTGGGCAGGGGAACATCAGCCAATGAGAGGATGGAGGGTGGTGCAGAAGGGGGAGGAGCTGGATTATATAAGGGGTGTGTGTGATGTGTGAGAGAAAGAGTTTTGGAGGTTGGGGAGATGAGTGAGATAGATTTGTGAGAGATAGTCAGTGAGGGAAAAGTCTGTGTGAGGTACATTAAATGAGAAACTTGATTTACAACCTGATTTACTACCTGTGATTCACTCCTTTTATTTTGTCAAATCAATAAACACAGTTTTTGTTTTAGAAGAAACACTTGTCCTTTTTGATTACTGAATAAACTTTGGTGGCAGCAGTAGAAGAAGAGTAGTGAGCACTCTGGGAGGCCTGAGTTGGTAGAGGCGTCAGAGTGGTCCGCTACAAGCAATTTTCCTCATGGAGAATTATCCAGTGCTGGAGGATCCCAGAATATGTTGGAAGAAGACAGAAGTGAGAACAGCTGGGATGTGGCTGTCCTCAAAATAGTTTGAATAGCTGTTTTTGGATTTAATGAAATGGTGAGGCAAAAGTGTGAGTGAGTGCAACACATGCAACAGGGAAACACACCATTTAACCTCTCAGATAAGATAATGTTGCCATGCCCACTCCGTAGAATGCAGACTAGGAAATCATGCTCCAGTTTCCAAACCCTTTCCTTGAAGCAGGTAACCTGGGAAAGAAAAGCTGTATGAGACCAAAAGATCTACTAATGTGTTATATACATGTTTTCCAAAAGATATTCGTGGGGCTGCCTTTGAGGCTGATGCGGAAACTTCAGGTGGTGCAGAATGCGGCGGCCAGACTCCTTAGTGGAGTGAGAAAATACTAGCATATTTCACCTATTCTGGCCATGCTGCACTGGCTGCCCATTTGTTTCCGCATCGACTTCAAAGTTTTAATGCTTACTTATAAGGCCCTAAACGGTTTAGGACTTCGATATTTGGTGGAACGCCTGCTCCCACCAAGATCTACCCGGATCACCCGTGCAAGTCAGGAGGTGAAGCTGATGCCGAGGGAGGCCCAGAAGGAAAAGATATGAAATTGGGCCTTCTAGGCAGTGGCTCCTTGCCTTTGGAACAACTTGCCTCCAGAGATTTGTGAGGCCCCGTCGCTCGGTATTTTTAAGACCCATCTAAAAACGTGGATGTTTAAGCAGGCCTTCTCTCCAGATAACACTTAATCTTTCTTTCTTTATTTATTCTTTGTTATGTTTGGGATGTGGTGGCACTGCGGGCTAAACCGCAAGAAGCCTGTGCTGCAGGGTCAGAAGACCAGCAGTCGTAAGGTCGAATCCACGTTGACAGAGTGAGTGCCTGTCGCTTGTCCCAGTTCCTGCCAACCTAGCAGTTCAAAAGCATGCAAAATGCAAGTACATAAATAGGTACCACCTTGGTGGGAAGGTAATAGCGTTCCGTGTCTAAGTCACACTGGCCATGTGACCACGGAAGATTGTCTTCAGACAAAACACTGGCTCTATGGCTTGGAAACGGGGATGAGCACCGCCCCCTAGAGTTGAACATGACTGGACAAAAATTGTCAAGGGGAACCTTTACCTTTACCTATGTTTGCCATCTTGAAGAATTTGCCTATTGTTTATTCCTTATTGTTCATTGTTTATTGTTTAATGTTTATTCCTGTAGTGTTGGAGGGCAGTCTTACAGACCACATACAGCCAGAAAGGCAGAAAAGTGGATGCTCAATCAAGTCAAACCTTAACTTTCATTAGGGGAAAGAAATGACTAAACTGATACTATCCTACCATGCACGTATAATGGAAATACAAAACTTACCAGAAAAGAAAGTATTGCTGGAAAAAGTAGGAATGGGTAGTAGGAAGATCTAAAAGAAACACAGATGTTAGTTTTCAAGACCTGAGCAGAACTTACTGGAAAAGACAATAGTGCTAAGAGGGGGGAAATAGGAAGAGAAAACAACCTCATATGAGATGTTATTGTTTTGCAAGATCTGAGCAGAGCTCTTAATGATAGGACATTTTGGAAGTCATTAACTCACCAGCCACCACTAGTGACTTGATAACGCGTAACATCTTTGGAGGTTTTTTCCCTTAATTACTGAACAGCTGTATAGTGACAAGATGGGTGGAATGGTTGAAACTATGACAGGATGTCAGCACCAAAGCTCTGCTAACATCAAGTAAAACTATCCCCAGCCACAAAGCAAAAGCTTAAACAAGTGAGCTTCTAAATATTTGTTCTCTATTCTTTTTAAAATATATTTTGAAATATTTTTACAACCAGACACAGAATCTCTTATTGTTTAGCCAGGAAGAACTTAAAAAAAACCTCTCCTCCTTGTAGTCAGCTAATTGGGTCCAAATTGACAGGGTCAAAAGTTCAGATTGCCCCACAACAGGAGCTGATTTCCCCTTTGAAGACTTGTGTCTGGAACCTGGTCTCAGAATTTCTGAGAGAATATTTGCTGACATCACTCAGGGTTGGGAGAAACACAACTGCTTTGTGGTTTTGTAATGCTGAAATCCTTTGAATATGCTTTATAAAACTGTATCCTAATTCCCTGGTGATACATGGCAATATGTCCCTTTCTGAAGGACAGTCACTCCATTACTTTATTTAAAGCAAGGCTGTTTGTTTTGGTTTTTTAACTCTTGAAAGGAAACCTGCCTTTTGACTCTGTGACCTTTCATTACTATACAGCCTTCTCAGCATGAAGTGGCAACACTTTATCTACTTTGAAATGCCCCTGCTGGTAAGCCCATTCCACTCAGTTTATAACAAAGTGACTTTTTTGCCTTTTGAGGGACTTTCTTGAGGGTTAGTATTTCAGCCCCTGCAGCCTCAGTTCTTTCCAAAGGAAAAAAAGCAGGTGGGCAAACGATTCTCTTTCAAGATAAGTAAGATTAGTCTTTTCAGATTGTATGAGCTATTTTAAATTTGGGAACATTTAGGGTCACTTGTTTCTGCAGAGGGGTAAATCAGTTTTACTTTTGAAAAAGCATAACTCAAAAACCCTTTGCCCAAACTTGCCCAAATTTGGAACAGAGCAAGAGGAGACTGTCAGACAGATGAGATATGTGCCAAATGTGGTGCTGATCTGAAATCCAGTTTCAAAGGCTTAATTTTCTGTTTGGGCTGCTCCATTTTAAAAATTGCCTTTTAGAATGTTGATTTCCTCTGCTGTGCAATAACACAGCTGCACTCTTGCATAATAATACTCATGATCCACAAAGCTCCCCAACTTTTCAGTTTTTTTACAATGAAGCTGTCATGAGTTCTGCTGAAGCAGATCTGGAATCTGAGGGGTTAATTACAGCTGAGGAGAATGCTAGGCAATCAGAATCACAGGCAGCTGAATCACCACCAGATTCTCCTCCCCCAGTAGCCAGAGTGAGGGATAAGCTTCGGCAAGGACTTATGACATGGAGATCTAAAGCCCGCATGAATGCTTCCCATAGAAACATCAGGTTGACCAGCCCTATTAGCAGAATGAGGTGTTTAGATGGCTGCTGTTGCTATAAAATCTGCACCCAGATGCTGGCAAGCTTGTGGAAGCAACAAGTCAAATCTCTGGCTCGCATCCACGCTCCTGATTACCTCGAACCTTGTTCTCTGAACCCTTGGCGTTGGACTCTGACCCTGGACTACGTTGTGTGATTTGGCTTTGGACCCTGACCTCGGATTACGGTTTGTGATTTGGCTTTGGCATTTTGATATCGGCTCTGCATTCTCTGAACTTGTGACATTGGACTGGCTTATCAGACTCTGCTGCTGAAACCCCCGGGAACATGACAGAAGCCTGCAAAAGGGCATTCTGTAAAACTGACAGTTGTTGAACAAGATTTAGTAGTCTATCACATCACTATGCCAGGTTACTGTGTAGCAGGAATGGAGACATAAATGAAACAGGATTATTCCCTTCTACTTCCTTTTCTGTCCATGAGCACTGAAACTACTGCTTTTGTTATATGGTTTAGATCTGTGAAAATCATGACTGGCCTGCTGCACAAGTCCCAGCCATTTAATAGTACATCTGCCTGGAGAGGAATTTAATTTGTGCAGTTGATTTTTCTGACAGATTTGGGCTCCTTGATTTTTATGGAAGAGTGAGTTTGTATTTGATTGTTCCTGCTTCATGTTCTTGGTTCCTCCAAGCTCTGACACTTCCTGGAGTTTATTTTTTTAATGGTGATTGATTCTCCATATTTTAGAATCTTATTCCTATAATTAGATGGCGTGCATCAAATAATAAAGTCAGCAAAATTTTAGACCTGCCTTTAAAATCTACAACAAATTTGGGGATGGGTGGGAGAGAGCAGGTTTCTTTATAGCCTGACGTCAACAATTTGAATATTTTATGGTGAGGTTTTATGCTTATTTCAGGTTAGAAGTAAAAAGTAGTGAAAACAAAGCTTGCCATAACACACCATATGGGAAATCAATACAAATGACTGCCTGTTATCCAAGCTATCAGTATCAATTCTATTCTCATTTGAGATTTCAAGAACATCTTAACGGTAGTTCATGTGATGCAGTACCTGTCTAGCTAACTTTATTGGGTATCTTGTGTTCACTTTTGGGTGCCACAATTGCAGAAGGATGTTGACAATCATTCCAAGGAGAACTGCAAAGATGATAAAAGGTGCAGAAGGCAAGTCACAGGCTGAAGGCGCTGGATCCATTTAGCCTAGAGAAAAGAAGATTAAAAGGAGTCAGGTTGACAGCTCCCAGATATTGAAAAAGGATATCAGTTCAGGGGAAAGGGAGGGGGTGGGCAGGAATTTTTTAGCAATGGGACCAATCCAGTGAAAAACAATGGAGACCCAACTAATATCTGAAAAATTTGAACAAGTAGCCATGTTAGTCTGTTGCAGCTGAAACAAAGAACATCTTAAAAACCAATTAACTTCTGTTTGACCATGATTTCATGGACTCAGCCCATTTTGGATACAATCTGAAAGCTGCCCTCAGATTGATGTTTTTTTTTTTTAATATAAAGATATGAAGAACTACTCCCCCATCCAAGTTACCCAGTTTTATGTTGCCTTGGTACAGCTGAGTTTATATTCCATTATCTATTCATCTTATTTCCCACAATAGCCTTGAACGTTTAGCTTTTATGCTGGCTGAAAGTGTGGTAATTTAATGCAGGGGTGAGCAGCCTCCAGAGGTCCAGGGGTATGTGGGGCTAGTAGTACTGAGAGCATAACAAAAAATAGAAAACTTGACTCCCACAGCCCTAAGAGGGCATAAGTGGTTTTTTGCATAATTTCTCCATTTTAAAAACAAGTTTTAGGATACTGGAGTTATATGTTGCTCTCCTTTGCTTTAAAGACTGATACTTAAATCTAATTTAATGTTGGCAGAATGAGAATCTTCACACAGCTGTGTTGGATTACACCCTTTTGCCAGTGGTTGTGCACCAGTTCCACAAGTGGAAGTATTAGCATTTGCACAACCAATTTTGCAACTTGATTACACAACAGTATGCACAAATGCATCAAATACATCGGAGGTAACTTTAAAAATGTGCCAACTCTAACTGAATAGGTCTCACTCTAGCACAATGACATAAATAGATATGTTCCAACACAATAATGGTACTGTGAGCTTTTGTGGACCATTTCGTGAAGTCATTGATGGTCTATGAAAGCTCAAACCATAAATAAATCTACAAGACTGCTGTTCTGTGACTGGCAATGTCAGTAGGGAGACCACATGTGATCTGCTGACTGTCATGTCTTGCAGCTGTATAGTGGAGAGAGAATGTGGGACAAGTGGCTTCAGGGTTGTATTCAGAGATGATGACATCACTACTAGTGCACAAGGGTAATTGACAAAATTTATTTAGTCTGGTGGGTCAAGGAAGAGATGATGAGGCTTTCAAGTATGACTAATGTTCATAACCAGTTAGCATAAAGGAAATCATAGTATGAAAAATATCTTTCTTTGTTCATTTCAGAAGCCCCAAAATACAATGAATAAATATATCAGATTTCCCCACCCCACCCCAAATAATCGACATACTGTAATCAAGAGCATTTGGGGAAGCTAACATCACATTTTCCACAGTACATGTTGAGGGGCATGGAATATGCTGACCTCAGTGTGAAGTTGTCTATTCTCTGTGTTCATAAATGCAGAACTCCGCCTGTGAGAATCTTTGCCAAGAGGAACCTCTTTGCCTCCCTTGCCCAGAATAGCACGAGACACCATTTTTCACATCCTTATGATCTGGGAAGGGAGGGGGAAGGGGTACCCTTTATAACAGGTTCTCCTCCCTGAGTTTGGCCTCTTTAAAGGCTTGCAACCCACCCGCGCACCCTCTGTGCAAGTGTGAGCTTTACTGGTCGCCTTTGAGGCTGGATAGGATTTTTTTGACCCACTTTCTGATTGGCTGGCAAGAGCAGGGATTTTACACCTGTCCCATACTGGCAGAGGATTTAAGGCTGTTTACGGATGATGTTAACACAGGTCACACTGGTGGGTAGTGTGGAATGAAGATGGATTTGTGAGTTCCCTGTGGGACAGAGGGGGAGGCTATAACATATCCAATCTCTCAGTGCTATGGGTCATGAGATTACACGGGGGGGGGGTTAGGATGCACTGGGACCTCCCCATGGGGCGACAACCACCGGGAACTCACCCATATTCATGATAAAGGGGTCCTGTGAGACATCAGTTACAAACATCATTCCACACTGCAGGAGTCCCCTCCCCTTTATAGTTACTAACATGTTTAAGGTTAATAAGGTGTGGCCATGGTTCACTCCATTATCTGCATCTCGCCTCTTCATTGGGGGGGGGGCAAAGATTGGTGCTACTCTCCCCTTTTATTAGTTTCATTTTGCTTCTCCCACCTGCAGTCTAAGATTATTTATTTATTTA